TGAATTCCATTTCTGCTCAAAATACTACATTACCCAACCCAAACTCCCAGGTTGCAACTGGGGGTGTAACATAACCGAGTAAGGTAACGTGCGGCAAATATGACCTCCAAACGCATAGCACATCAAACACCATATTTTTATGGTGAAGTTAACTAAGGAGCTCATATAACAACTGTCAAATAATTATAATAGGGTGTCCCACTAATTACAGCAGATATTTGTAGAGGAGAAAGAATATGTGATTCTGAGTATAAAACTTCTATACATATATGGATTTTTCAGTTTACGTTTAGCGGTGAGGTGGATTTTACAAATTACACAAGGCAACCATTACAAATGGCGGAGTCGAGGCCGGAGATACCGATAGCAATAGCGAAATATAGGAAAGGGGGAAGAAGGTTTAGTAGTGAAAGAATGTGGGTTAAACAGAACAGACTTTTAGGAGGAGAGAAAGTGTGTGGCCTTCTGCCCACTGCATGGTATTGGGTGGTAGGTTGGGGTGACTGGGGCGATGGGAGAGAGGAAAGGATGTGGAGAAAAGGCGAAAGGAAATGGAGGGCCCTATTTGGGTGGGGTGCACCTCATCTTTAATTTGTTTGGAGGGCCCAGTCATTATTTTTTCTGAGTAGGGTTACACTTCTTTATTATAGATAGAGGGAAACGGATGGAGATAGAGACGTGGTGGTTATGATTTTAGGTTGGGGTAGGGGACTGGCCATGGGTGTTGCTTGTTTTTTTTCCACATATCTTAATCCAGCTGAAGTTACGTGGGATTGATCTTTGTTGTAAAGGTTTTAACTCTAAATACAAGGGGGAGGAGCCATGTCGTCGGTTCTGTGAGTGTTCCTTACAGTAGTCCAAATCGTCGCCATGGGTAGAATAGGGGGAGGGGGGTTGGGGAATGTAGGGGAAGATAATGTTATGGGATGGAATGTTCGATTGATGTTAGTCTTGGGGGTTGGGATGAAGGGAAGAGGTGGGGAAGGGAGTAGTGGAGTGGGGGGATGGTGGAGGGGGAGTGTGGGGAGAGAATAAGTAGTCGATTAGTGTTTAGGTGTGGTAACCCACGATGCTCAAATTATGAGGTTTAATAGTTGGGTGGGTAGAGGCGGGGGGGGGGAGTTTAGGCGTGGAGTTGGAACTCGTGAACGTATGATGTTGTTTAATGCAAGTTATGGAACATTACAGTATCTTCAAATGGGTTTTCACGATATTAATAGGCCTTATGTAATCCACCAATAAGGATTACAACAGCATACAGTATGGCTGCAATTGGTAAGAAAAATAAAATATAACATGGCAAAATTTTTGCCCTGCGTAATTTTTACAACCCACCTCACGCCTAAAGTAAACCGAAAAATGCTTATGTGTATAGAAGATTTTCAACTCAATATCACATATTTTTTCACCTCTACAAATATCTGCTGTCACTCATGGGACACCCTGCAATAGTATAAGGACGACATGGGCTATGCTGACAAATTAATGTGACTTACCTGTTGGTGACAACGATGGTAGAAATGAGACCTCGGCATGTTTCAGTGTTCGACATCACCTCCTTCCCCTGCTGTGGGTGGCGCCAACCTTGGTAACAACTTGTGTATTAATTACTGGTGTGCCCATCAGTCTCACCGTCGTAGCCATGATCAGCAGAGATATGGTCGTTGTAGTGTTTTTATTTACCGGTTACACATCCCTCACCATGCTTAATAATATTAACTATTATCATGACATTCTTATTGTTATCATTGATTGCGGAATTCACGATGTTATAAGAACATAAGAACATAAGAATGGAGGAAACTGCAGCGGGCCTATTGGCCCATACTGGGCAGTCCCGTTTACACCCAACCCCTATTGCTCATATGAGCATCCAACCTATGTTTGAAGCAATTCAGCAAATTCGAGTTAATGATGATAGTTGGTAACTTGTTCCATTCATCCACTGCTCTGTTTCCAAACCAGTGTTTACCTATTCCACGCCTAAATCTAAATTTGTCTAATTTAAAACCATTGTTACGAGTTCGCTCCTGGTTGGATAGTTTGAGTACCTTTGTAATGTCCCCTTTGTTTAGCCCTACCTTCCACTTATACACCTCTATCAGGTCGCCCCTCGCTCTACGTCTCTCAAGGGAGTGCAAATTAAGATGCTTTAAACTGTCTCTATACTCAAGGTTCCTAATGCCCGGGATTAGTCTTGTCATTCTCCTCTGAATTCTTTCCAAGGATTCTATATCCATTCTGTAATACGGTGACCAAGTACTTTATTAGCCTTATTACGAGCAAAAACACATTGTTTACTTGGCTTAAGGTTCCTACTTATCATTACTCCTAAATCTCTCTCGCAGTCGGATTTCTCTATGGCATCGTTGTTCATCTGGTATCTGGTTTCCCTGTTTACATCTCCTATACTGAGTACTTTACATTTGTCGTCGTTGAATTTCATCTGCCATTTTTCAGACCATTCGAAAAATTTGTTTAGATCTTCCTGTAGTTTTGCCGAGTCCTCGTCAGATTTGATAACACGTCCTATTTTAGTGTCAGCAGCAAATTTACTTATGTTGCTGTCAATGCCGATATCTATGTCGTTTATGTATATAATAAATAATAATGGTCCAAGTACTGAGCCTTGGGGAACTCCACTTGTGACGTTGCTCCAATGGGACTTAGTGCCGTTAATGCTCACTCGCTGTTTCCTGTCCTGTAACCACGCCCTAATCCATTTAAGAATGTCACCTTTGATGCCATGAGCTTCTACCTTTCTAATTAGTCTTTCGCGGGGGACTCTGTCGAAGGCTTTGCTAAAGTCGAGATATACCACATCATAATTGTGCCCCTCGTCCACCGATTCGAAAACTGATGAAAAGAATGTTAATAGATTAGTAAGGCAAGAACGTCCGCTTGTGAAGCCATGCTGGGAATCATTGATCAATAGGTGCTTCTCCAGGTGATTTCGAATAGAGTTTGAAATGATTGCTTCCAGTAATTTGCCTACTATTGATGTTAGACTGATTGGGCGGTAGTTAGAGGATAGTGATCTATCCCCCTTCTTGAAAATCGGTATTACATTCGCTATCCTCCAGGATTCTGGTACTACACCTGTTTTTAATGACATGTTAAACAACTTTGCTAAGGGCATACTAAGCTCTTCCTTACATTCCTTTAATACTCTGGCAAATATCTCATCGGGACCAAGTGACTTATTAGGCTTTAGTTTGTCTATTTGCTTACTAACATCGTTACTAGTCACAACTATCTCACATAATTTGTTTTCTTCACTATCTCTGAATAGAGTCGGTGCCTCGGGTATCATGTTTAAATTTTCGGTGGTGAAAACTGTTGAAAAATATTTATTCAAATTATTGCTCATTTCTCCGTCGTTATCAGTGAGCTCGCCGAAGTCTGACCGTATTGGTCCAATCTTTTCTCGTGTTTTAGTTTGATACATTTGGCAGAATCCTTTGGGGTTTGTCTTCGCCTCCCTTGCTATCCTTACCTCATTATTCCTCTTTGCTTTCCTTATCTCGGTTTTAACCCTACTCGCCAATACCCTATAATAGTCCCGGAGGTGAATTTCGCCACGATTTATCCTTCTACCTATAGCCTTCCTTTGGCCAATGATGTTCTTTAAATAACAGGGTCATTGTTGTCTGATCTGAGTTTTTTGTATGGTATGTTCTGCCTTTGTGCATTAAGTAACTCACTATTTAAATTGTCGTGGAACTCGGCAATCTCAGATCTCGTTATCAGGTCGGTGTCATCTGTCAGGTTCACAGTCAAGAGCGACACCCCCTCTCTCAGCTGCCTCTTTAAACTGTCAAAGTTTGCCCTTCTGAAATCTGGTACTTTAGTGGAATTTTCCTTACGTCTGCCCTGAAAATCTAACTGGAATCGAATTTCTTTGTGATCACTGTTTGCAAGTTCGTTCCCTACCTCGACATTGCTAATTAGGTTTTCTCTGTTCAACAGAACTAAGTCCAGTATATTATTACCCCGTGTGGGTTCGGTTATATGTTGATTTAGGAAACAGTCCTGTTACTAGATTTATCCCCCACCACACACACTACAGTGGGCGACATCTGTTGGCCGACCATAGCATTTCCCCCAGCTGTTTCGAAACTTCAGACTCAAGGCAATTCGAACCCTCACTGTGGCTGGGTAGTGGACACGACTTTGGTGCTCGATAGTACCTGTACTCATATTTCTCTTCAGTACCCTATGTGATGACAAGTTTAATAAACTATTCTGCATATATTGTATTTTCTCATCCTGATTTAACTAATATATTAAATAAAAAACCTAAGTAATAAAAAGAAAAAAGGAAAACAATGCATCACTGATAAAAAGGGAGGGGGGGGGGGGATATTCTTTACATGGGAGCTTGTGGGGGGGAGATTCTTCAGTTGGCAACATTGGGGGGGGAGATTCTTCATATGATCCCAAATTTGTTACCAAACATTTCACAACTCGTTCCTTTGAAAATGTAGTCAGTTTTAAATAGTTCGTCTTTTGATTCCCAGCACCACAGGCGCCTGAAGAAACCCTGTACATGACGTGTGAAGCAACTACGCATGCTTTAAGGTTTAAGCAGTATTAAAATTCTCACAAATTATGCCCGTATAAATGTGCTTTGAACGAAGGTTGTAATGTTTTTATTAAAAAAGTTCTTGTGGTTTGAAATATATTTCCCTCTTTAAAAATATTAATATGATTGACAAGAAAAACATGGTATATAAAAACATGAAAAATGATAACCATGGAATTCTACCGTATATTGATTTCGAACCAAATGCAACTTGTTTTAATTCTCAAGGTTACTTCTTTAAAATGATATCGACCTTTGCGCATTGAATTTCAAAGAAATTTCGAACGTCAAGCTAACATTAATAAGGTTCTTTATCTTACCTTCAGCGGCACCACGAATGTTATTGGGGCACTCTTGTGGTTCTGGTATGCTTACTTCACTCCAAACTATAACTTATAGAGAGAATGTCACTTACTTGTAAACCACAATAGTGAAAGAATGTGGAGTTCTTGTTTAAAAAAGAACGCCATTCCTTGGGTAAAATAGGCAGTAGACACCCAGTGTGGACTGAAACAACTAAGGAATGCGTCTACTCTCCCCATTTTGTGTCACCGGAGCTTCCACTTGTTCACTGTAACACGACCAGTAGGTTACTGATTACCAAGTTACCAACTACCAAGACTAAAAGTGAAGCCAAGTTGAGCCGCTCTAGTGGACACTTTACACGCATAAATCGTTCCCGACTTCTGCGCATATTAAGCAAGTATCAGTGATGTTGCTTAAGCATAAATTCTACCTAATCATCATTACAGTTCTTATTAGGGGGGGGACATTTATTTTATATGTTGGTTACATTGATTTTGTTATCTGGCGGAAATATAGTGTAACTAAAAGGTTTCTTTATCTACAGTATATTTCTGTAACATCGAACAAACACATTTCAATTAACAAATAGATGAATGACACAGGACAGCAGACTCGTTTTAATAATAATAATAATGATAATAATATTACATTATTATTATTATTATTATTATTATTATTATTATTATTATTATTATTTAATTATTATTATCATTCAATAAATCACCCTACAAATTTACATTTGGTTTGGCAGGTATAGAGACAATGCAAATACTGTATACAGTTCAACATGTGTATAGACAACGCATGTATACGGTGAATGAAGTTACATTGGATAAATAAATTACCACTAAAACATGTAGTGGCAACTCTCGGTGATAACCAAGAGGAAGGGAGGCGAGTGTCGAGTTGGCAACAGCTGATGTGACCTTGAGAGAGCACTGGGTGTGGTAGAGTTGCCACCTCGCACACAAGAAAGATTATTTTACTATAACATTAACTTCTTTTTTATTGTGTGATGTATCTGATTGTTTAATACCAGAAAATCCTCCATATTTTTTTTTAATTAGAGTGCAAGGGGCATGTTCAGTGTCAGTAAGTGAGGAAACTGAAGTATCCGGAGAAAACCTGCAATGTTAGGGAGCGTTAAATCAACAGTTCTCTACTGACTTCATCATATTGTCACTTTATGTAACTTGCTGACAAAACCCATGACCCTTCAGGCCTTTACGCCCTTAATGCATGAGTCGTAAAGGCAAGCGTGAACTCGCATGCTTCCCAGTTGGGCACTGTAAACGCTTCTGCGCTTCACCTTGCACAGGATGTAAGGGGGTGCCCAATAAACAAGCCCCCTCGTGGGCAATCTGTAATCTGTACTGACTTCCAACCCAACCGGAAATCCAACCCGGATCACAGTTACGAGAGGGAAATGGCCTGACCTGTAGAAATCGTAATTATTAAAGAGTTTAGTTTAACAAATTTATTGACAAAGCGTGTAGTACAGTTTGCCTATTCTGAGTAATTCAGTCAGGTCTTGACACTGAGGGTGGTATCACGTCTCACTGCCACGCAGGACAGAGGTTCATACACAAAAAAATTCATCATATTCATTAACAGCTATATATGTATAGAGGTCAGATTTATGTGGGTAATGTCACTGTTCACTGTCATGCAGGACAGAGGTTCGCACACAAAGAAATGCATCATATTCATTGACACTATATATAGATCAGAATGTCAGATTCATGTGGGTAATGTCACTGAACACTGCCATGCAGGACAGAGGTTCGCACACAAAGAAATGCATCATATTCATTGACACTATATGTAGATCAGATTCATGTGGGTAATGTCACTGTTCACTGCCATGCAGGACAGAGGTTCGTACACAAAGAAATACATCATATTCAGTAGCAGTATATATAGGTCAGTGGTTCACATACATTGGACGTCATATTCTCATTGAAGACTAATCAGTGAGGGCTAGCAAATTTGGGATAAACAGCAAGAATGTCCTCAAGCACCCCCGATTCAATGTAGTAATTACAAAGTTCAAGATACAATAAATCAGGTGGCCTGAAGTCCTTGACAGTGTCACATTCAATAATATAGTGCTTAAGTGTATGCTTTAAAGGTTTATCACAAAGTTTACATGCTGAGTGTTCCGGTATGGGTACAGCGTTACTAACCTGCCAGATGTGGCTGTATCCTAGCCTAATTCTGGCCACGATTACATCACATTGTCTGGTTCTGTCCTTATGCTGGCCATACCGGTACCTCTTGTCACAAAATTTGTCATATTTACTAATGCTACAACTGCCAGGTCTCTCTGCATTTCTCACTTCTTCTAGATTAGAGTTCATGAATCTGACTTGAATGTTTTTAAGTACAGCATTGGACAGGCCAAAGTCACGGTCAACATTTTCTTTCTTGCATGCCTCATTGGCCAGTCTATCAGCACGGTCATGTACCTGATTCCAACATGGGATGTCATTTTATTTAGGAAAAATATAAAACTATACAATATATATACATATCAAGAATACATACTCATTTACAGTATGTCTGGCAGGGGTATACAGCTCATTTAGTAATTGGTCAAGGTTAGTTCTAACCCACGTTGCACGTAACAGTATGTTGACTTACAATGATTCAGAACTTCAGGCTTAGTCACGGCCACTAACGAGAAATCTTCTGAAACAACTATTAGTTCAGTTTGTTTGTTAAGAATCAATAGATCGTCATTCGCCTTCAATGGAAATGGTTCTAAATGCCATGCAATAAACTTCTTTTGTAATTTTAGTTGAATGTATATTAGCATTTCCTTATACGTTAAAGTTGCATCTAATAAAGGGTAATGATATACCACTTCATGCTCCTGAAAGATAGGATTTAGATGATATTTAGTTTCATCTATATGTAAAGCGGCAATAAGTTGACCAACTGGCAACGACTAAATCAGCTATGAGCCTACTATTGGTGATTGTAAAAGCTTGCACAGAGGCTTCAGCTACATGCATATATTCTGTAAAGCAGAATAGCTATTCTAGTGAAGACTCTGACCGTGTGAATCCCTGGACAACTCGTGTTAGTTGATAGTTTCATCAACAATAGCATTCATCTGAGTGTTCAGAGTTTGTACTGCCTTGTAGGACTATTCAATGGCCCTATTTTGTTTCATAACCGCTTCTGAAACTGCATTCGTTCGTTGTCCTAGTTTAACTACATCTTCGGCGGTTGCCATACCAAACAGGGTGTTACTTATTAAACTAACAAAATTTAATAGACCACGTTTTTGACGCCAATGAGAATGTACATTATTCCTGATGTCTTCAGGGATTATGGGGAAACTTATGTCGTGGCCCTCGACATCTCCAAAGCATTTGACAGGGTATGGCACAAGTCTTTGCTATCTAAACTTCCCTCTTTTGGTTTCTCTCCCCCACTTTGTTCTCTCATCTCTAGCTTCCTTGAGAATCGATCCATAGCAGTTGTTGTCGAGGGATCGATTTCTCGCTCTTTCTCTACCAATAGTGGCGTCCAACAGGGTTCTGTTCTTTCACCAACTCTCTTCCTTCTTTTTATCAATGATTTACTTCACACTACAACTAATTCTATCCATTCTTACGCCGATGATTCTACTCTTCACTCTTCCTCACATTTTCCCCTTCCTCCTAACTCTCAAACTAGATCTGTTTCTAGAACTGATATCATTACTTCTATCAACGCGGATCTGTGCAGCATCTCTGAATGGGGAGATACAAACTTGGTTAAGTTCAATAGTAACAAAACTCAATATTTACCAATTACACTTTGTAAATTAGACGATCTCCCACCAATTACATTTCAGGACTCTATCATCCTCCCAAATTCTGAAATAAATATGTTAGGCCTCACCATTTCCTCCAATATGTCCTGGAAATCACACATCCTTAGTATAACTAAAGCTGCCTCCCGAAAGTTGGGAATGCTGTACAGATGCCGCAGCTATTTCACTCCTGAGCAGTTGCTCCAAGTATATAAGGGATTCATTCGTCCTAACTTGGAGTACTGCGCTTGTAGTGGCTCCTCTCCCCTACAACTTCCAACTGAGCTCCGGCCGCGCGCCGACCAGCCAATCAGCGTACAGCCGAATCGAATCGAAAAATGTTAGTGACAGGGGGAAAGGAGGTTCAGGGGAAGAATAAAGGGAGGATTGAAGTGAATTTTAGGAGGAGAGAATAGATGCAGTGGCTAAACACCGCTTGCGTGAGGGAGTATAAGATGGAGGCAGCAGCAACCCGCCCGGACGCGGCCGGGAGGCGACAAGACACAGCCGAATCGAATCGAAAAATGCTAGTGACAGGGGGTAAGGAGGTTCAGGAGAAGGATAAAGGGAGGATAGAAGTGAATTTTAGAAGGAGAGAACAGGTGCAGTGGCTAAACACCGCTTGCGTGAGGGGGTAGGCAATGTGCCCGGAAGGTGCAACAATCATAATCAGGACGAGGCAGGGGGAGGGCGGGAGCAGGTCCGGGCAAGCAAAGGGCCAACGCGGGTGCTCAGGTTGTCGTCTTAGCTTAGGCAGTGTTGGCAAAGCGGAGGAAGAACCGCCCCGCCACGGCGGCGACGCACAGGCAACACAGGATCAAAGATAACAGAGAAGGTGAAAAAATGGAAATGTAGCTAGTCGTAGGGTTGTTTGGAGAAAGATGAAGGTAAAGTCTTTGAGCTATGTCAAAGAGGAAAGGAGCGAGTTGGAGGAAGGGTTTTGAATCTTTGAGCTTGAAGTGTCAAAGTATTCGTAGTAAGGAAGGATGAGCGTATCGTAGGAGAGTTTTTAGTAATAGCAGGAGACAGTTTTGAGCTTTTATGTCAAATTATGAACGGAGACGAGAATGAGATATAGGTTGATTGGTTTCAGACTTGAGTTAGGTCGAATTTATTGAGATTGGATGTCACAGACGTTGGGTATGTTTGATTTGGTTCTGAGAGTTGTTGGTCTTTGAGCTATGTCAGAGAGAAATGGAGAGAGTTGGAGGAAGAGTTTTGAATCTTTGAGCTTGAAGTGTCAAAGGATTTGTAGTAAGGAAGGATGAGTGTATCGTAGGAGAGTTATTTAGTAATAGCAGGAGACAGATTTGAGCTTTGTCAAATTGTGATCGGAGATGAGAGTGAGATATAGGTTGTTTGGTTTCAGTCTTGAGTTAGGTCGATTTTGTTGACAGTGACTGTTATAGAAGTTGGGTATGTTTGATTTGGTTCTGGAGAGTTGTAGTAATTATGAGAGGCTTTGTCTGGCGGGGGGGTGTTGTGTTTGGAGATTGGCTGTGGGAGGAGTTTGTGTTTGGGGGTTGGCGGGGGTGGCGGTTGTGTGATTGATTTGAGCTGAGTTAGAATTGCTTAAGGGGGGTTGTGTG